GGGGAGGGGTCGTGACCTGCGCCCCGGGCCGGGGCCACTCACCGGCCTCGCTCTGGTTGTAGTAGCCGCGCAGGTTCCGCAGGCCCCCTCGGAAAGTCTGTGCGACGTCCTTGTCTGCTCTTCCCAATACTCCGGGCCCTCCTGCTCCAACCACGGCGCCCGCGGCTCCATCCTTGGACTCGAACCGCAGGAACTGCGTGTCGTCCACGTAGCCCACGGAGATGAAACGGGGCTCCTCGCGGCCGGGCCGGGACATGCCGGCGCTGAAATACCTCAAGGAGTGCGAGCCTGGGGGCGAGGAGAGGCTGAGACCCGCCCGACCCTCCTCCCCGCGCGGCTCCCCGGGTCCTGCGCCCCCGCCTGCGGTCCCCTCGCTCCTCCCCGCAGAGGCCATTTCCCTCCCGACCCCGCACTCACCGGCCCAGGTCTCGGTCAGGGCCAGGGCCCCCAAGAGCAGCAGGAGGAAGGTTCGGGGCGCCATGACCCGCATCTCGGCGTCTGAGGAGACTCTGAGTCCGGGTGGGCGCGTGGGGACTGTAGAACTGAGACCGCGGCGACGCTGATTGGCTTCTCTAGACATCCGACACCCAATGAGAGTGGGAACTGGGGACGCGTGATGAGTATCCTGGAAGAAGGACCCCACACCTGTTGGGAGAAGTGAAACTAGGGGAGTGGGGAATCCCCAACTCTGCGCCTCTCCAATGCAGATAAGGCCCGAGGCCCTGAGAGCCACGCCCAGGACCTGGGACTTCGTCCTGATCCCTCTTTTCCTACACCAAGCCTCTTTGACACCCTGTCTGCCTGAGTCCTGGACAAGTCAGTATCTGTCTGTGGAAACCAGGGAGAGACCCCCAGGCTGCACCTAGTCCCTTCCCCTTCCCTACTTGTCCTGGAATCCCCGACCCTGAACTGGACTCCCTGCCTCCCACTCCCTACATCTCCCCTTGGACCTTTGTGCAGGGAAACTGACCACAGGGAACTTGATGCCAGAGAGAGCTCGCCCTGGGAATGGAGGTGTAGAGACAGGGGTTTTCTCTCTAAACCTGGTGAAGTTTTGTCTGAAGGCACCACACAGAGATTCTCATAGAGACCAGTTTCCTTTTTGTTTATTAATACAGTAGGTAGCACAATATTGGTAATCCCTGAATGATTAGAATTCCAATATGTAAAAGACCTGTGTCAAAACAGCATTACAATTAAACTCTCAAAGCTCCTAAGTTTTACTTTCCCAGACTATGCATCTGTGACTCTGAGTTGTTGCATTTAAAATTATCTTCATTCCCTAGCCCGAGTTTCCCTGCGTGAGTCCAGAACATCTCTTGAATACAAAGAAGCAGAGTTTGTTACTGTCTATTGCGACCGGGAGCCTGTAGTCATCACCTCAAAGTTGCGAGTGCTCCATGCAGTCCCAATGCTCTTCACGGACGCTCAAGCACTGCCTGTTTTCCTGAACTATGCACATCTAAGCAGTGTGCATATTTTATCTGGACACTAAATGAGTTTAGCAACTACTAAACTACTAATACTAAATGAGTTTAGCACATTGGTAGGCTACAAGATCAAAACACAAAAATTGAATGTGCTTCTATAGAGTATCAATGCATTAATACAAATGTTATTTAAAAATCCAACTTACAACAGCATTAAAAAGAATGAAGTCAGAACAAAATTGAGGGCCCAGCAATACTCTTCACTTCTATGGTTAATTGGTTTTTGAAAACAGTGCTAATATAATCCAATGGGGGAAGAAATTATCTTTTCGTCAAGTGGTGCTGAGACAACAGGCTATCCATATGCAAAAGAATAAAGCTGGATCCCTACTTCACACTACATATAAAAATTACCTCAAAGTGTATCAAAGACCTAAATGTGAGACTTAACACTAGAAAACTCTTAGAAGAAAACATAGGTATAAATCTTCATGACTTTGGATTAGGTAAAAATACCTGATCTTAAATGATACCAAAGGCACAAGCAAAAAGAGGAAATAAAAGATAAATCGAACATCATCAAAATTAAAAATGTGTGAGTCTAAGGACACCACCAAGAAAGTGAAAAGAAACTCATCGAATGGGAGAAAATTTTTGCAAATCTTACATCTGGCAAGGAAAGGACTTGTATTTAGAATATATAAAGAATGGTTGTAACTCAATATAATAATATTAGTAATAATAAGATAATAATACACAATAAATAAAATAATAAGACAAATAATATACAAAAGGCTCATAAGCACATAGAAACATGTTCAACATCATTAACCATCAGCAAAATGCACATCAACCCAAAAATGAGATACTATTTCCCACCCACTAGAATGGCCATAATTAAAAAGGTAATAATTAGTGTTGATGAGAATGTGGAGATACTAGAACACTCACACTTTGCTGGTGGGGATTTAAGAGACATAGCTCCTTTAGAAAGCAGGCTATCAGTAGCTCAAACTGTTGAACATTAAGTTATTACATGAACCAGCAATCCCCTCATATGTATACAGTATGCCCAAGAGAAATAAAAACATAAGTTCACATAAAAACTTATATACCATGTTTGTAGCAGCATTATTCATTATAATCCAAACGAGAAGGACCAAAATGTTGCCAACTAATAAATAAATTGTGATATATCCATACAATGGAATATAATTAAGCAATGAAAAAGATGTTAAGTACTGATACAAGCTACGACTCATTCCAACTTTGAATACGTTCCGGTAAGTAAAAGAAGACAGACACAAACAGCCACATGTTGTATAATTTCATTACATAAAATGTTCAGAATAGATAAATCTGTAGAGTTAAAATATAGGTTGGTAGTTTCTTAGGCCTGGGCTTTGGATATGGTTTTTTCTGCAGGGCTGGGAGGAGATAAAAGGATCTGTAATTGATTGTGGTACTGGAGGCACAACTGTGAATATTCTAAAAACCACCAAATTGTATATTTTGAATGTGTGGATTTTATACTATTTAAGTTATATCACAAGTTGTCTGGAAAATCACATCTAGATGTGTATAACAGACAGATTGTATATTGTATATGTGTGGATTTTATACTATTTAAGTTATATCACAAGTTGTCTGGAAAATGATTAAATTACATATAAAATTTACAGTCATTGCAGTTCAACAAAAGCTACCAGATAAAAACACTCAGTATGGTTTGCATGCAAGTGAAGAAAGTAGACATGCAGAGAGAAGGCTGATACAATAGTAATTACCTTAGTAAAGTGGGTTTGGATTTAGTGACAGGAGAGATTTAAAAGTATATTTATGCATATTTTGATTGTTTCATTTCCTATTGTGAGCATGAATTATTTTTACACCAAAAATTTCAAAATAAAATATTACAAATCTTGAAAGCTCTGCAGTCAAATATAGTAACAAATGATAAAGAGCTGTCTGGAATGTCTTCCTAGAGAACTGGTTGAAGCACATGCATGTAAAAGGGAGGCAATGGCAGAAGAATCAAGGCAGAACTACAGTAGTAGAAGAGAAGAAAAATGTAAACATGGAGACATAAGACAAGAAGATGACTGATGAAGGAAGTGGGTATGAATACTGTTAAAACCTCTTGGGGAGTCAGAAATGACCGGGTCTACGTGGGAGGGAAACTGGCTTACAGCTCAAGACGGCCAGCCATCAGGGACAGGGGACAGAATCAGAAGGGCTGTCTAGTCATTCCCTTACTTCCCCCTCCAACACCCCAGCAAGATTATTGCCTAATTTACAGCCATTGCACACTGAAGAATCAGTACAATTTGGAGACTTTGAGACAACAGACAGAAAATTTTTGAGCTCCTCTGGGCATTAGGGAGCCGTTTTCAGAAAAACAGACTCACTCTGGTATTTCAGGAATAAATAGAAATAAGAGCATACACTAATGTTTGGAAACCACGGGTAACAAATATTGGTGAAGTCATGTGACAGGCAGAGTAGTGGTCTCCTAAATATGTCTGTGTCCTAATCCCTGGAACTTGTAAAAATGTCTCCTAATAGGGCAAAAGGAACTTTTCAGATGTGATTAAGCTGAGGCTCTTGAGATGGGAAGATTATCCTGGATTATCTGGGTAGGTTCAATGTAATCACAATAGTCCTTATAAGTGAAAGGAGTAGAGAGCAGCATCAGAGTTAGAGCTATGGCAACAGAATCAGAGGTCAGTGATGTGACTGCTGACTTGGAAGATGGAGGAAGAGACCACAAGCCAAAGAATGCAGGCAGCCCCAAGAAGCTGGAAAGGGTGAGGAAACAGATTTTCCTTTAGCGCCTCAAAAGAAACGCAGCTCTGATGACATGTTACTTTTAGCCCATAGTGACCCATTTTTTACTTCTTACCTCCAGAACTGTAAGAGAATACACTTGTGTTGTTTTAAGCCACTTAGTTGTGGTAATTTGTTATAGCAGCAGCAGGATATTATAATAATACCAGTCACCATTGGAGCTCCTGAAAGCTGCAGTTGGGAGGTCAGGGAAGCATATACTGAAGACTTCAGCTTGAAGCATGGATGGGAGGTTCTCAGAATCCTGCTGCAAGATTGTTATATTCTCCAGAACCTGTGAGAAAGCTCTTATCACTCATCTTAGTCTGCACAGGCAAAGCAGGTGGGTCTCTAGCCTAGCAGGGAAGCCACTGAGAACCTGACATCTGCCTGCTCCTCTACCTGCAGCCACCACTGATGGTTACAGGCCCGTCCCGCCATCTCTCCTGGGCCCCATTTCTCATGCAAGTCTCTCTCACTGGAAAATGTAAACTGGAACTATACAGGGAAGGGGAGATATAGTGCCTGGATTCTCCTCTGCAGAGAAGACGCTAGAGGAGATATGAGGTGATACTGGGTTTTTAACAATGCAGCACATGAGTTACTAACAGTGAATGAAGGTGGACTGGCTGAACTCAGTTTGACAAGCAAATGTGCCGTTAGATGATGTAAACCATTGATATATCTATGAGATTTAGTCATTTTAGCAAGTTATTTATTGGAACTAGGATGTATCAAAAACTATGAAAAGTGCAGTTTTAAAAAATGTCCAAAAAATTTAATGGACTGTACAAATGAAATAAATTATTTTTTAATGTACTTTAAGTTCTGGATACATGTGCCGAATGTGCAACTTCATTATATAGGTATGCATGTGCCATGGTGGTTTGCTGCATCCATCAACCCATCA